TCAGGATTTGGTGGCACTTAGCTTGCTTGGAAATGAGCTCAATAATGCTGAACTGGTTGTTCAAGAAGTTATCAAATTTAAGCATCTTAAAGGAATTTGGCTCAACAATAACCCGGTTCTTAAAAATGGGTAACTTCATTCATATTTAAAAATTAATAATTAAATCACGTAGTCACTCCTTCCTGTTAAAGGGAGCTAAAATTGCTTTACTTTTGTCTTCTAGTGATGGGGAGCTTGCAGATGTGATTATTAAGGAGTTGCCAGAACTGGAAATTTATAATTCAAGTTTCACAAGCAATTTTGGGGAATGGGCCTTGGGCTTTTGTGCAGGGATATACGGAAAGGATAACCCTGGGAATTCTGATCAGGCTGACATCCCACTGCACAGTGTGTCTTCTCTTGACCTTTCAAATAGAAACATTCACAATTTAATCAAGAAGGTTGAACTGCTTCTTATGCTTATATCTGCCTTTTGCACCCTTTTTTGGTAGCTCTTGATTCAAGAGTATAGATAGGAGACTTGAATGTAATATTTCCCTTGAACAAATTTGATTGCATGAGTTAAAAAATCTGGGAATTTTGATGTCTAAATGGTAATTGGTAAACAAAGCATGATTGATAAAAGATGTTAATGCTTGGCATTGTGCAGCAGTTCATTATTCCCAGATGTGTTTTTTCAGTCTAAATCATTTGATGGTTCTTCCATTTTCAGGCATTTTCACCCACTTGTTTGCCATCTCTTTCATGCTTGAACATTCATGGAAATCCATTGGAGCAAAACTCATTTGCTGGCTTGGTAGATCTGCTGAGGAGATTCCCATGCTTATGTTCATTGGAGGTAGTTTTGTTTTATATTATAAAATTATCAAATTTAACTGTCCCTCAAAATTGCCTTTATTATTTATTTAGCTTAATTTTTCTTTATTTCCATATGAGCAATTTTCAGGTGGATATTCCTGGTCCACTTGGAGAAAGTGCCATTGAAATTCTAGAATCTCTTCCGAACATTTCTGCGCTAAATGGTATCAGTGCAATCAAAATATTGGAAACTGGAAAGCATGTTATTGATTCACTGCTTCTTCCTCGTCTTCCTGAATGGACTCCTGATGAGCCTCTTGCTGACCGTATTATAAATGCAATGTGGCAATATCTAATGACATATAGACTTGCAGATGAAGAAAAGTTAGATGAAACATCTGTATGGTATGATCTGAATATTACTTGTTTTACTTTATTTAAATTTAGCACTAGTTTTCTTTTGATCATTATATTAATGCATTTTTAAATTCATCAAGGTGGTCTGATTGATGCTTTATCATTTTAATACTACTTGAATCCTTGGAATTTTATCAATGTTTGACCACTCAAATTGTTGGGTTCAGTACTTTAAATGGAATAGAAACAAAATAGCAGTGCTACACAAATTATATCAGTTTTTCGCAACGATACATCACTTGAACTGCACACTCTTGTATATTTTCAGGTATGTGATGGATGAACTAGGTTCAGCTTTGCGGCATAGTGATGAGCCAAATTTCAGAGTGGCACCTTTTCTGTTCATGCCAGAGGGCAATCTAGCATCAGCTGTGAGGTTATCTTCTATATTTTCATTTTAAGATTTGTGCTTTGACAATTGATGTGGAGTCATATTATCAAGCTCTATGAAAGCATCTGCTTTACTATATAATTGTACTTCACATGAAGTCTAACACCTTTTTTGTGATAAATATCTTGTAAAAGTTACAATTCTTATTTCTTGCTCATTATTGTATGATTGTATCCTGCGTACGTTACCTGTATGGATCATGTTAGAGATTTCTGTTTGAAACTTCTCTCTGCCCCCCCCCAAATCCAAAACATCGACTTGTGCATTTATCATGGTATGACCTCTGGATTTGTAATAAGTCAATAATTTGTCATACGAGTGATAACTTTCATTTTCTCCAACTTTTCTATTCTATGGCCCCCTCCCCATGAAAAATATGGACTTACACATATATCATGCATTGACCTCTGGATTTGTAATATGTCAAAGTTAATCATGATACAAGTAATAACTTTCCCATTTTCTCCAGCTTTTCTATTCTATGGCCAACAAAAAATGTTCAGAAAGGTGATGAGTGCACACGCGATTTTCTTCTTGGTATTGGAGAGGATAAACAACATTCTGCCAGGCTTACTGCCTGGTTCCACACTCCAGAGAACTATTTTATCCATGTATTTCTCCTATTACTAAGATAGATTGTGATTCTATTTTGATGTTAAAGATCTTTTATACAAAGGTATCCTGAAATTTTGGAGCTCATTAGTGCACTGCTTTCAGGCATATGAGAAGCACAATCAGACATTGCTATCCACAAATTTAATATCTCCCACTATGCAGTCTTCGGAGACTAGAAGTATTCGTCAACCTGATGGGCGTCCTTTACGTGTTTACACAGATATACCTCATGTAGAGGAATATTTGACTCATCCTGAGTTTGTAATCAGTAAGTTAAATGCATTCATGCTTGAACTTTCTTTCAATTTGTTTTTGTTCTTTTGAAGCAATTCGTTATTAATGGTTAGATGATCATGTGACTTGGAACATACTGCATATGTGCCAATCTTCATGTTAAGAACATAAATTCAGTTTTCCTTGTTTGATTTGGACCTTCTCTCTCTTTTTTGAGGAGAATTGCATCTTTTGGTTGTTAGAAAATTCTGTTGGATTTTATTATATGGTTGCCATCATGTCTAAAAAAAGTATACTTTGTATTGCTGACCCCTTTTTGAATGTTTGTATGCCTACACAGCAAAGGAACCAAAAGATGCAGATATAATATGGACAAGTGTGCAGGTAGATGAGGATATGAAGAAGGCCACAGGAATTACGGACCAGCAATACATTAATCAATTTCCGTTTGAGGCGTGTCTTGTTATGAAGCATCATTTAGCAGAGACAATTCAGAAGGTGATAGTAGTTATAACTAACATCGATCATTGTGTGTTGATGCCAATGAGATTATCCAAACTTATGTCATTGGCATGCAAATTCATTAACTTTTCCAAGTGAGGCTATTTTATAACCTGGACTGTTTTTTTTTCTTTGGGCGGTGGTTTACCTTGATACAGGCATATGGATCTCCTCAATGGTTGCAGCCTACTTACAATCTTGAAACACACCTATCTCAACTTATTGGTGACTATTGTGTACGCAAAAAGGAAGGACTTGACAATCTTTGGATCTTAAAACCTTGGAACATGGCCCGGACTATTGATACTACTGTAACTGATAATTTGCCTGCAATAATCCGGCTCATGGAAACTGGTCCCAAGATTTGCCAGAAGTATATTGAACAACCTGCTTTGTTCCAGGGGAAAAAGTTTGATCTCCGTTACATAGTACTGGTTCGGAGCATGCACCCTCTGGAGATATTCCTGTCAGATTGTTTCTGGGTACACTGATTCTTCTTTTGAGTTATAACATTTAGTAACTTAATACGTATGGACTATGAAGAAAATTTGTGGAGCTTTATTTTATTGTTATACTCTTAAAAGATACTAATGGAAATAGGTTTTATATTTCATTTTCAGGTTAGGATAGCCAACAACCAATATTCTTTAGACAGAAGTAGTTTCTTTGAATATGAAACTCACTTCACTGTTATGGTATGTCTTGAGTACCATTTTATTTAGCAACAAGATTTCAGATGAAACTTGATGAAATTGAGATATTTAATATTTCAGTGCTTTCTTTTTCTCTACAAGTTTATAACAGTCACTTCATGGATTACAGAATTATCGCGGAAGAATAAATCATAAGAAAGTTAACGATTTTGTGAGGGAATTTGAGGAAGAACACCAAGGTAATGGGGACTGCATCATGTTTATTATCTGCCACATTTAAGATGAGCTTTTAGTGGCATGCACAAAATGGCTTACTATTGACTGAATTCTTGATACAAATTCCTGTCCCTGTATTTCTCAGTTAAATGGTTGGATATACACACAAGAGTAAGAAATATGATTCGATCAGTGTTTGAGGCAGCTGCGGTTGCTCATCCTGAGATGCATAGTCCAACATCAAGGGCAATGTATGGTTTAGATGTCATGTTGGACAGCTCTTTCCAACCTAAGTTACTAGAGGTTTGTAAATGAAGCACTAGTCCTCTTCCGCGCC